GCAACAGCAACAGCAACAGCAACAGCAACAGCACCAGCAACCAGCAACCAGCAACCAGCAACCAGCAACCAGCAACCAGCAACCAGCAACCAGCAACCAGCAACCAGCAACCAGCAACCAGCAACCAGCACCAGCACCAGCAACCAGCAACCAGCACTAGCACCAGCAGCAGCAGCAGCAGCAGCAGCAGCAGCAGCAGCAGCAGCAGCAGCAGCAGCAGCAGCAGCAGCAGCAGCAGCAGCAACGACAACAACACCAACACCACCACCACCACGAACAACAAATGGAGGTGCACGGTTGCATGCGGCATGGCTTGGGATACGTTGGCAGCCCCATAGGATTATGCAAACATGATGTCAGCGTGGAATGTCTGTGTGCGATTGGAGAGACTGCTGCTAAAAGACAGGTTAGGCTCCAGCATTGAATACTCCCGCCGATTTAGAGGCTCAGAAGAAGCTGTATACAGAATCACTGCCCGAGCCCACAAGACAGAGCTGTTGAGATCGCACGTGCTTGCCCGATCTGACTTGGAGGAGAAACCCTGCAAAACCCTGCAGCCTCGGCCCTCGCCGCCTCGCAAGCCAACCCTGCGGCGGGCACCCCGCTGCACCGCAAAGTCCACTCCGCACATGCAAAAGGAAGCGAACAAGGAAGCGAGGATTCTGCCTTGGCCCTAGCGGCCCTAGCCTTGCGCGTCTCGTGTCCGCTTGTGCGCTTTTCGCCATGGAGCTGCTCATGGCAGCTGGCCTTGGGGCCAAGGCGCACCTTGAAGCGTTGCCGTTGCCGTGGCCGTTTTGTGTCTTTGGTCATGTGACGAGCAGGAGCTCTTCAGCTACAACCGCGAGAACTTCAAGTTCGACCAAGATCAGAGGATCGAGCGAGAGGCTCGTGAGAGCCTGCAGGCCTTTGCTGCGCGCTGGGCGGCTTTTGTCGGTGTCTGCACAGGCTCTCCGCTTGGAGATGCAGGTGAAGCGCTTCGAGCTCTTTCGGGAGGCACGCTCCGCGCGGGGCGCGGAGCGCGGCTCCTTGCCTCGCTCGGACAGGACGTGAGGGACTTGGTGGAGCTCACGGTCGACCGCATGGACGTCTACCATTTGGCCGGGCAGCTCCCACAGACCCAAAGAGCCCTGAGCGTCGCCGATTCGGTCAAAGGTTGGTGCCCTTTTCTTGGAGTTCTGCATCGTTCTCTTCTGCGAGGGTCGAGTGCAGGCTGGGCTTAAAGGCTTAGCTGGCAGCTGGGCTTAGCCCGGTCCGCACTCGCCGCAGAGGCGTCGGCTCCTCCCTTCTTGCTCTCGCTCTTCCTCCTCTCCAACGCCTGTGCCTTCATCTACCTGCTCCTGGCGGTCTGGCTTTCCATGCATGCAACTTAGCTGCAACTTGGCCCAAGCTGGGACCTCCGAATTCGTAGGCTTTAACGGCTGAGGCCTCGATCGCATCGCACAGCTTCGGGGTCCGCCTGCCGGCTCCCTAGTCGGAGGAACCACGTCCGTTCAGCCGCGTCTTCTCCAGCTTCGTTTGGGTGTCTGTGTAGCGACGTGTCACCTCTGCGAGGCTCACGCGCTTCGTGCGCTTGCCGATCCCCAGCATGAAGCAGATCGCCGGCCTCAGGACGCGCGCTTCGTCTGCCTTCGTGCTCCGGGCGAATGCGCAGCGGGCTCCGGGAATGCAGGGCAGCAGCGGAACGGATATCGGGGACCGCTTCGACTGCCGACACATAACAACCACGGCGGTGGGTGGAAGCAAACTTCGAAAGTCGTATACAGGTCGAGGTGGGTACCGGGCTTGGGCACTGAGGAGCTGTCGCTGCTGGACCTGTGTCGGCTGATTGCCCCGCACAGCTGGAAGATGCCTCTCCCACGGACCGAGGGGTTCCGTCGATCGGGGCCTTGTCCCGCACACACGGCGCCGCTCGGATGTGGTGGTCCGCACCACGGCAAAAGAGCTCACGCGCTGTGTCTGCTAATTCGAACTTGAAGAGAGCAGGCAGTGGTATGGAGGGCAAGGGCTCAAAGAGAGGTCCGAAGAAGCGGCCGGAAGTGGCAGGAGCAACTTGAAGGACTACGAGCGACAAGGCGTCGCCAATCTGCTTCGCCTGCCCTTCCAGGAGAGTCGGAGAGTGTCTGTGTGAGCCTGGGCCTGGAAGTTGCTGGAAGTCGCGAAATCTCTGCTCAGGATCAGCAGGAGTGGCAGCAGGCACGGCCTCAAAAGTGGGGCCGAAGGCCGTGAAGCGCAGCTGGCACTGCTCGGACTTGGGGCAGGTGCACGGTGCAGGTCCTGAGCCTTCCGAGCAGCTCGGACTGAAAACTTCTTTGACCCGGCAGACGCCCCTTGCGTGGCGGTTCTGCGAGGCGGAAGGAGGAGTCTCAGAGGGACCGCGGACCCGTCTCCTTCCAACCGCCGACGAGCTCGAGCTCGGCGAGAGAGCGATCCGAGGGCCCCGGCCCGGCCTCCGCGAGCTCCGCGAGCGGCTCCGGGGCCGCCGGAGGCGACCGAGCTTGGCCCCAAGACGCAACCTCTCTGGCGGCGGCGGCGGCGGCTCTCTCTCTCTCTCTCTCTCTCTCTTTCGCGGCCGAAGAGCGCGGCCTTCGCGGTCGCGCACCGCGCGCTTTCTCCGTCGGCGAGGCTCCAGCAGCGACCACGCTTGGAAAGCCGGGACCCAAGGGGCGCCAGTGGGCTTGCATCGCATTGCACGCGCACGCGCGCTTGCACGGCTGCCTGCGCTCCTCGCCCGAGCCGAGGCCTGTAGGTGCAGATGGACTTGGGCAGGCCGGCGGACGCGACCCGCGGGGACGCGGACGCGGACGCGGGCGCGACGGTAGTCGATTCTCTGACAGTGTTGAAGTGTGGGAGGCGGGAGCGTCCAGCCTCACCTCAGGCGAAGCCACGGACAGAGAGAGCTTAAGCGCGCTGTCTGAATCAGAGTCGCAAGGCCAGAATCTCTTGCCGGAGAGGGAAGAGACAGTGGTTGGCGGCGAGGCGCAGAGCGCCACACGCAGATGGTAGAAGTGCGAGTGAGGGCAACGCACGCTTCAAAACACGTCGCGAGGATCTGCTGTCTTGCTCGAGGGGAGCACAGCCCGAGCGTGGGGGCGCCCGGGCAACCTGGACGGCACACTGCCCACTGCGAAGTTCTGTGAAGCACAGCGCCGAGCCGCGCCGCCCTCGCGGGCCTGCAGGTCACGTGCAGCTCTTTCGACAGCTGCAGTCCGGCCGGCAGAGAGACCTCTAGTCTGCCGCTGCTTACCAGTAGAAGAGTGCAGCCCAGTATCATGTGCGGTGCAGTGGATCTCAGAGTTTGTAGGGTCTGTTCTGTATACGGAGAAAGTGGAAGTGGGTTGTTGCGGGTTGCTGCCGGTTGTTGCGGCTGCGCTGCCAGGTCCAAGTGGCAGTGTTATGACGCGTACTGCAGGGTCTGCATGGGTTTGGGTCCGTGACCCGGGCAAGAACGCGAGCCGCTTTCGCTTTGCCAATTCAGCGCTTTTCGCTTTCGCTCTTTCTTTTTTGCGCCGAGCCGCCGAGTCTGAGGTGTGAACCAAATTCTGCAAGGCTTGAGCTATTACTGCATCTGTGCAAGCCTCAGTCTTTTGTGGCAGTTTCCCCCGGCGCTTCGCGACCTCCGTTGAGACAGGTCACACCTTGGTGGAGAACCACTCTCCCACGACCGGCTATGCCCTCGTGACCCTTTTCCAGCGGATCCGACTCGCTTAATTTCCCGCGGCGCGAGAGGGCGGAGGGCAGTACTCGTTTTTTTGGCTTTAGGAGCACGACCATCGCCTTGGCCGTCCTCGATCTGGTGGGAGTGAGTCGGGTTTGTGGGGGAAGAGTCTCGGGACCACCCAGTTAGTTTCTGGTAGAAACTGCTGGGCGCCGCTTCCTTCGTTTGCTTTGGTGCAGAGGCCGGGCTGAGGAGGCGCGAGATCCTGGCAGTCCAGGCGCCCCCCCCCCTTTAAATTTCGCCCCTTTGCTTCTCTTCTTCTTTTGAGAGAGCTTTTGTGGCTCTGCTTTTTTTTTTTTTTGCGCAGAGGTGGTGGGCATCATGCCCTGCCTTCTGACAGCCTGGGGCGTTGCACACGGCCACCGTGGCTCGACTTACTCGTAGCGTCGCCTCCTCCAGCAGGGGCACTTTTACAGGTCTTCGTCGTGCTGAGGTATCGAGGGAGGTGTGCTGGATCCTGCGCAGACGCCGGCCGCCCTGTGGCCACTTGAGCTTGAATGCCTTGGTGCGCTCTGCCTTCAGGTATATGCTTTCGCCGCTGAGCTTCCTTTGCCAGGCCTCATGGATCAAAAGCCCCATGCAGATAGGAAGTGGGACTGGGCAGGTGCTTTGGCTGGAGCTGTGGTTGCGTGTCGCAGCTCCTCATGGCGATGATCAAGCAAAGCGGCTTGGCGCAGGGGCACAGGGATGCACAGGGCAGTTTCGTGCAGTCCTCCGGATTCGGCGGCCTGCCTGTCCCACTGGAGGTTGCCACGGCGATTTCGGCAGGTGGGTCGGAGACTGCAAAGAGAAAGTGTTCGATTGCCGTTCTTCCCTGCAGGTGCTCTTCCTGGACGTCTTTGGCGACTCCTCCGGTGCCCTTCGCTTTTTCTTCGCCTTTTCCGAGTGGTGGCTTTCACGCATCCCGCCGGCCTGTAAGAGGCTGGGACCCGCACGACCGCGACAACAACTGCGAAGCCCGGGAGCCCAGCTGTCAGACCGGCTTGTTTAGGCTTAGGCCGGCTCCCCTCCTTTCTCTGGCTCGAGGACGATATGATCGAGGGTGAGATGTTCAAGCAATTGGGCGTCAAGGAAGAGAAGGATGCAGACGAAGAGGCCGAAGAGGCCACATGGGATGGTGCTTGTGGCTGGTCGTGCTCTGGGACTTCATTCGTCTGGGGGGTAGGGTCGAGTGAGCACAAGGCGGGAACTGCACAAGACTGTACATGGTCATACAAGCCCGCAGTGCCCTGCCGCCGAAGCAAGACGTCGTTCTTTGTTGCGTAGCATCGCAAGAGCTGTGATTGCGAGCTTGTTGAAAACCCGGGCTGGAAGCCTAAGCTTCAGCCAGAAACCGAATCCGCCCGACGACACTTCACACCCGCCCCAGCCCCTCACCCCATTCAGTCTGGCCCGCAAGCCACACGGTGCTTTCCCCGGCTCCTTCCTTCACCCCACGCATGCTGGCCGGATGTTATCAGATGCATTCGGCCCCGGATCTACCCCCCCCCGCCCACACCGCACGATGCGCGCGCACGGCCAAGAGGGCACGGGCCAGATGCTGCTGAACGTGACGGGTACATCGCCGCGGCAGAGCAGGTATCGCAAAACGCCAGTAGGAATGAATGACGCGAGTGCGGTGATCAACCAAACCAGGCTTCGGCATCAGCAGCAGACAAGCAAGTTGCTGGCTTTTCAATTCGGATGGCTCCGCCCGGAAGTACAAGCAGGTATTCTAGCTGCAAGAAGGTTGGAATAAAGTTAAGACGGAGAAGTTGGATGATTCCGCCCTCGAGTGTTGACCAAAGATCGACGTGCATCATGTATGAAAGAAGCTAAAGCCCGAAGTGTTATCAAGAGTTCTGGACACAAGATGGTTGGAAAAGATGAGACGGAGTTCGGGTGGCACTTCCCCGTACTGTAAATACCAGATTCGGAAGAAGATAAGACGGAGAGAATTCGGATGGCTCCGACCCGAAGTGTTGTGAGCTCCAGATACAAGATGAAAGAGA